TAATATGACATAACACTTGACAACATTGATTCTTGCTTTTTCTAAATTAGATGCAGAAAGAAATTAAACTGCAAAAACATTAGTTTGATGGATGGTATCAAATAGGAATTTTAAAAACTAATATACAGTGCACCATAATTTTAATACTTCTCTAAATTACTCAATAATGCGTATGTAGCTACAAACCTAAGATATTTTCTGAATAATAGGCAAGATATAGAGGTAACTTGAACTTTTTTCTTTATACATTCAAACAAATTACTGGATAAAGGTTTTATTTAGAATATGCTGATGTTCTGTTAATTATAGAAGTAAATTAATTGCAGATTTCATTATGTTTAATTTGTTGCTCAGTAGAATCATACTCATAATATCCAACTATTAATTTATCTTTTCTGAATGATTTGTATCTACACACTACAACTGACTAATTGAGCATATGGTTTACAGAATCTTTACATTAATTAGCTAAACTACATATAAAATCAAAGATAGCTATGAAATTTAATATAAAATTGACTAGAAATAAACACCTGGATATAAAGATTATATAAAGATATACTCTATGTTTCATGATTTGTCTTTATTATAAGATACATAAACAACTTTTCTCTAGTCTAATTTCCCATCAATGTTCTTACTAATTTTTTCATCTGGTCTATTAGGTTTCCATTTCTACAAGTAATACTAGGACAAAAAAAACTTTTTAAAGGATGTTTTTGAGGGAGGGGAGAATAATTCACCAAATAAATTTCCTCATTTTCTCTAAAAGGAAACTGAAACCTGGATTGTTCTTAACTGGGTAAGATAATTCTAGAGCCATAAATGGGCCACTATTTTCTTATTTCTACAGTCAGGAATATAGGATAATAGAAAAAATGCTTTTGGTATAAATATCATTGGTATATACATATATTTAATAGAAACATGATTTCTGAAGTACTTATTGCTTTTCAGATTGTATTTATCTTCTATTTATTTGACACTTCTGTTTTGGTGTTTCTAACTTAATAATGTATATAACTGTATTTTTACTTTTGTTATAACCCAACATTCTCAGAAATTTCCTGTGTAATATGTACCTCACTGAGCCTGAGTGGCTCAGCTTGTTTGTTTCAGTATTTTCTACAGAATTTACTAAGCAGAATACAGTGATATCTGAATTCCAATTTGAAGACAGAAAAATAAAAATCTTCACATTATTTAGTTTTTAGTTGCTAAAGACACATTTTGCTTAAGTAGAATCTCTAAATCACTTAAAAATGAAGTATTTGTAGGGTCTTACTTAATTTTAAAAAACACAATTAAAAAAATACAAATAAACCCAAATCATAGAAAATTTAGACTATTTCTACCTATAATACTTTTTCCTTAGAATCAAATAGATAAATTTTGGAGATATTCCCACATCATAAAAATCTTACATTGACAATTAACATAAGTATTTCATGCACAAATTAATAGGTAGTTATATAACAAATCCAATTACTGAGTTTTGCTAAGAACGAAATATTCATAACAAAGAGGAACATGAATATCTATGGCAGGAATAAGTAGTTTGGTTTTCTTGTACTAAAGAATTCTCTGTCATGCCAATTCCCCCTATGCATTAATTTCTCCTGGCAAAAGGGAACTGCAGAGAGTTTTTAATTTACAAAACTCTTGTTTATGACTTGCTATTTACACACTGTATTTATGTAGTAAATATGCAATCCAGAGGGGTTCAGACTTGAAAATTCAGTTATAGAACATCTTGGCATACTGCAAAGAACCAGTATTTTAAAATTAGTGGTTATAGGCACAAATTTTAGCTCTAAGGTTCACTAGTTATTTGACATTTAATAAATAAATTAATCCCTCCAGAGACCCACAGTTTTAAATGATGGCAGCATATTTATTCAAACAATTGCAGAGAAAAGGTAAATGTGGTCTGGATGGGAGCATGGCATTAGCCAACATATGGAGTGGATACTCAATGTCATATTTGGGAAAACATGAATCTACACTGGGGCAGAAAGTGGTTCCAGAAGAAAGATATTTGAATCTTGTCCTGTAGAGACTTGTGGTGTTTGAAAATTTATTAAGCAAGACATGAATAAAGCAATGGAACATTAATTTTGTAGAGATGCACACAGTAATTTGAAATTGAATATAATAAAACCAGTAATGACATTTGGAAAAAACAGTTGCATTGAACACATGTGTTTATTTCCATCCCCCTCTAAGGCTCACTAAAATAACAAGTTATGAAATAAAAAAGCATAACCCAACAAAGAGTTAGAAAAACATATAAGATAATATCAACAATAAGAGTTAAGTCTGGAAAGAGAACAGACAAAAGATAATTGATTTAGAAAATTCATGAAAGTTTAACCTTCCTGGAATAATCCTGGAGGAATTCTGACTTGTGTAAATGAACTCCAGAAAGAGTCATGAATTGGGAGGAGAGTTGAGATGAAATTGAAATAAATAAGAAGCATTATTTAGTAGTCTTCTTAAACAGGCAGACAAAAAGTTTTACCAACATGAACAGAAAGATAATTATCCCTCCAAAGGAAGGGAGAGTATCGGAGCCTATTCCTTAGAATGAGTAAAACATAAAAAATATGAAAATGGGAAAACCTGTACAGATGTGGGTGGGGTTTCATACACAAATAAGCAGAATCAGAGAAATCTGCCAAATGAATGGTGAGAAACACCCCAACCTCCATTCAATTTGCTTTGAAAAAACATGCTTTGAAAAAAACAATCAAGAATTATACAGTCCACGAAGTTGGAAGATTTAAAGTACTCTTCTGTAAGAATACTAAACTGTGGGAGGAAGGAAAGAAAAAGAAGAAAAAAAAAAAAAAAAAACTTGAGAATTTGCAGTACCCCAGTGATAAACTTAATCAAATCACATGATAAAGCTCTCTGCTGTTATCATGCACACAGAGTTCTTAAATGAGCATGCAGCCATTTTTCATCTGGAGTAATCAAAGCAGCTATATAGATGTAGCTACCCCAAGCAAGCAGCAATGATATGTATCGCTTCATACCCAGATTCATACCCAGATAGTCATCTTAAAAATCCGTCACCCTAGTTCACACCAACTGAGTGTATCAGCCAACCACTGACAGTAACAAACTGCCCAGTATGGTTCAGGGTGGGAATTTCAAGTATATAAAGTAGCAAATACAATAAGCATTACCAAAACATAACCTAATCAATATCAAAAAGCTATTAATGATACTGGTGATTAAGTGATACTGGTTACTATCTTTTCTCTAAACCACACATATAGAGGCCTTGGAAATTTCTTGTAATTCGGCTTACATAAGATTATTCTTATAGGAATAGAAACCTGTGAGCTTTCCCAGCAGCACCTATGTCTTATTTCACATCTGAGAGTAGCACTGAAGTATATCATTCCCCTGCTCTGAGATGGCAGCATGAGAAAAAAGTGAGGGCATTTTCTCCAGCAAAATTTCTCATTTATGTGCTTCATTATCAACCGCTGCAGTTTCCCCCGTTTCTTCTTTCCATGTATTACCTATCGGAACCCAGAATCAGCAATTCTATTTCAGTCATGCTGCCCATCCACAGTCGAGGCAGCAAGACTGGAATTGCTGCATCTTCATATACTGTCTATTCTCAATAATAATAAGAAAAAAGGATGATAGGGCTGCTTCTGTGACTAATGGTCACTACTTACTATCATTTAGCCAATAAGATGGTATTACCCTCCAGCTATTTTTACTTTAGAAAAAGTGAAAAAGTACTCTGAACACCAATGCTTATTCTGCAAGGTCACAGAAAGAGCAGTGCTGGACCCATTCCATTTCGAGACACTGTAATAATGAACAGAGCACATTAGGAAACATACAGCACTGGGAGATCACATCATCCTCCACTACTTAGTCCAAGCACTACATCCCCCAAACCTTTTCAAGATATCCTCTTTTCCATCCTCACATTTAGATGAAGAACAAATTTATCCACTTAAGCCAACCAGGTTTATTAAAAGGACTTGTTTTATAAAATTTGGATTCAGTGAAAAGGCCACACTCAAGGATTCAGAAGGCCACATATGGCCCCTAGGCTGCAGGTTCCCCACCCCTAAGTCATCTATAAGATGTCATGCTTTTTACAACATTTTAGATTATTGGCAAGAGGGAAATGCATTATTTGTTCTGATAATATATGGCTGAGGAGAACAAATTGATATAAATTATTTTATTCTATCTCTTAATAGCATGCTATGCTCTTGATTCGGTAAGCAGTAAGCAGAGCCCAGAATGGATTGCATTTCTGTTACAGTCAGGATCCATTTGAAGGTTTCTGGATTTCCTCATCAGAGTCCTGTATTGTACAACTCCCAGCTCAGTAAAGGAACTTCTCAGGGAATCTTACCCAAACCCATCTTTCCTGTTGACATTCTATACCGTCTTTCATCCCATCAACAGCTGTGGAGTGTGACAGAGGTATATAGCCTTTCCTATTTGATGTTGCATAACTTAAACATATCCGCACCTGCTCATTTCAAGTAGCTACCTATAGTGGCTAAACAAGGGCATCAGTCTTTACCTTCCAGCCACCTTCCAAGTCAATAACTATTATCTACAGACTCACATTAACTCTTTCTTGAAAATTCCACATGGAATTTTACAATTGTATTAACAGAATCCAATCATCAAAGGCAGGATGGGAAAACATCTATAATAATTAATTTATTTTGTAAGAATGTTTTTGACTCATTAAAATTTAAGAGCATTAGAATTCTTTTGAGGATTCTACCAAGCAAAAGCCTTCCTCTATAGTGAAGACCTGAGCCATTTAGTCCCACGTACTGTGGATGATCTACTGACCTTGTAAAGGAGATAACAGCAGCATCTACCTATATTCCTAAGCACAGAGCAAAGCTACTGATTATGGCCAAAGACTACTTATATGTCCAAATACTACTTAATTCTTACACCATTACTAATAGCTCTTAATTCTGTCCATTGTGTTTGCTTACCCGTGACTTCTTCAACTCATGTTTTATCGTCCACAGGGAGAATGGCTGCATAGTTTCATGCTGCTTTTTCCCTTAATTTGAAACTTCTATTTGTCAAAAAAGCTGTGTAGGGGAGGAAAAAACAATTTTCCCTTTACACTTCTGAATTCTTAGTTGGGACCTCTGTAACAAAAGACAAATTAACAAGAGAAAAACTAATTGAAATTTACTGACATGTTATACCTCATGTATACATGGAAGACACCCACAGAAAAATGAGTAAATCTTTAAGAGGAAGCTCAGAACACTGGTTTATACGGCATTTTCAACAAAAAGTAACAATGTCAGAGAAGCAACAAGACAAAGAACCTTGAATCTCTAATGGTAGCAAATTGTGAGAAGCCATATAAATAGCAAATTGATTGTAGATAAAAACTGTTATATAGATTGAAGTACCCAGACACAAAGGGACAACCTCCATTTTGCTTCTTCCTGAGTGCCGCCATTTTCAACATTCCCTCCCTGAAGATAAGCATCTATTTCCTTCAAAAAACTAAGAAAAGCCACCAGAAAGGTCTACACCCCCTCAAGTCCCGTATGGACTCTCCGAAAGCCCTTTAAAATCCCCCCCTGCCTGTAAGAGCCGTGCTTCTGCCCTCTCTGTCAGAGGCCCTTCTCAGGTTTTTCTATTAAAACCTGTCTTTGCCCACCAAAGCCTGTATTCTTTTCTCCTCTTACCTCACATTTTGGTGCCAAAACCCAGGACGGGTATCGGGAGTGGAGCTCTTTGCAACCCAGGAAGCAGAGGGCTGCCGCAGCTCGCAGGGACTTACTCCTGGATTCCACAGTGTCCGGCTACCCAGATCCTCTGACCCTTGCCTTTTCTATATCCGGGTCTCCAGCCCCTATGGGATAAGACCGTCTGCTCCAGCTCTCACAGGAGTTCCTTCCGGGTCAGGCCCAAGTTGGGGGTTTATACTGACCTGCCTGTTGCCACGAGGTTTCTGGATTCTTCTCATGTCTTCTCTCTTTGTCTTTCACTCTCCTGGCTTCAGAGGCGAGAGGCCATTTGACGATTCTTTCTCAAACATCCAAAAGCCCAGCAATTCGCCTGATAAGAAGTGGTAAGCCACTGGTAAGAAGTGGCTTTCTACCTTGTCCCCCACAGTAACTGGGGGGTGGGATTCAGCCGTCCCTATATTCCCGGGGAAGTTTCAGGACCCTTGGTCGCGGCTTGAGAACCTGGGGACGCATGATTCTCATCCACCTCCTTTCAGTTCTTTTCGGTAGGTTTATTTCTGAGCCTGGCTCCTCTGAGAGGGACACCTTTCGGAGTCAGTGAGAGATCTTCGGCTAACTTCGCCGTGGGTTCGGGTGCTTCCGCCTTGCCGCCATCTTCCCCTTTGGGGTATTGTCTTCTTAACCTTTCAAAACTGTGCCTGCACGGTTACCTTAAAAAGAAATGCCTCATTTTATTTTGTAATACAGCATGGCCCCAATATAAATTAGATAACGACAACTGATGGTCGTAAAATGGCACATCTGATCATCAGATCCTTTGTGATCTGTACAGTTTCCACAGGAATGGCAAATGGTCAGAAGTCCCCCATGCACAGACTTTTTCCTATCTCTGCTCGTGCCCGTTCTTGTGCTAGGATTGTTCCCCTTACCAAGCTCTTTTATTGGGAGAAAATCCTCTTTCTAGTCTGTCCTTTCATCCAGCCGTTGAATCCCCTCCTTATGCACCAGGACACTACTTCTTCTTCCTTGTCAGCTTCTCATTACCCTCCCACACCACCATCTCCTGACACCGCAACACCCCTATTCCCTCCCTGACCATTTCCCCCCATAACCTGATCTAAAAATGGGACTTGCCTAGTCCTGGGTCCTCGCATCTTTTTCCGCTCCGGGAAGTAGCCGATATAGAAGGCATTGCATGAGTCAATGTTGCTTTTACCATGGCTGACCTTTCCCAATCAAAAAACAACTGGGTTACTTTTCAGAAAACCCAACACACTATAGGCAGGAGTTCTTACATCTTACACAAACCTTCAACTTAAACTTCACATGACTTATACGTCATCATAATTTCCACTCTTAACACCGGAGGAAAAGAACTCATCTGGCGTTCAGCTGAGGCTCACTTGGATGACCTACACATTCAGTCCCACCACAAACTGGTTGCGACAGAGGCTGTTCTTTCTCCAGACCTAATTGGACCTATCAGCAAGGTGACCCCGGCCTCTTATCACGAGATCATATGGTGACCTGCCTCTTAGCAGGCATGGCCAAAAATGTCCATAAGGCTGTAAACTGGAACAAGATTACAGAGGTCACACAAGGGCAACAGGAAAAGCCTGCCCTCTTTTTATCTCACCCGACAGAGGCCTTAACCAAATACAACAATGTAAACTCGGAATCCACGGAAGGGCAGACTCTATTACACCTTCATTTTATCTATCAGTCTGCCCCTGACATCGGGAAAAAATTTTAAAAAACTAGAAAAGGGACCACAGACCTCATGGAAAGAACTCCTTGAAATGGCCTTCAAAAATTTTAACAACAGGGAGAAGAGGAATATCAGGCCCCAAAAGAAAAGTATCTTCGCTTAAAATACCAGATGCTTGCCTCCATCCAAAATCTAGCTCAAGACAGCTCTCACAAAAGATTCCTAAAACAAATTCCTAAAAACCCTCAGGCACTTGCTTTCAGTGTGGCACATATGGACACTGGACAAAAGCCTGTCCTAATCCTCATCCACCCTGTAAGCCGTGCCCTTTGTGCAGCCAATGGGGCCACTGGAAAATGGACTGCCCTCAACAGGGACACTCTCTCCACTTGAGTGCACCATCTGAGGCCCCCAGACCTTCACCTAACAAGCTCCCCTCACTCTTGGCACTGACAGCAGAGGACTGAGGCTGCCCAGGCTCATCAGGCCTCATGTCCAGCGCAACCACCGAGTCTCGGTAATTGGGATGGTATATGGTTAAGACTGTTTCATTTCTTCTGGATACAGGGGCAAGTTTATCTGTATTATCTCAATTCCATAGCCCAATGCCTGCTCCTCCATCTCTGTAATCCATGTGAAGGGCATCAAGGAAACCCCACTTGAAACTCCCCCTCTTTACTGTACCTTTTTCAATACCAGCTTTGTACATTCTTTTTTAGTTATTCCCCATTGTTCCACTCCCTTATTGGGAAGGGATCTCCTCCATAAACTAGGCAGACAAGTTCACTTCCTGCAACACACCCCGACTCCACAGTTGCTTCTTTGCTAAGAGCTACCCCCCCCTTCAAAAAAGTGAGGAGATTCTACTTTCAGAAATTGACCCATCAGTCTGGGACACTGACCATGCAGTCGTAGCCCGTCATGATGACCCTGTGTAGGTTTTCCTGGGGGATGCCAGTTGCTACATAGCTGTACCCCAATACCCCCTCAGGCCACAAGGACTGAGGCCACAAAACCTATTATTTCTTGCCTCCTCTCCATGTGTATCCTTAACCCTATTCACTCTCCTCATAACACCCCCATTCTTCCTGTCAAAAAACCAAATGGCTCCTATCGTCTAGTTCAGGACATCCATCAAGTAAATGTATCAGTAACTCCAGTACACCCAGTGGTGCCTAATCCCTACACCCTCTAATCACAAATACCTTCTTCTGCCACCCTTTTCTTTGTTCTCAATTTAAAGAATGCCTTCTTTTCCATCCACATCCACAGAGATTCTCAACCTATATTCACATTTACTTGGACAGATTCTGACACAAATTCGATTGTGTCCCAAAAATTGACCTGGACAGTTCTACCTCAAGGGTTCAAAGACAGCCCCCATTATTTTGGTCAAGTTTTATAGGCTGACTTGGCCCACTTTTCCCCGGCCCTAGTTCTCTACTACAATATGTAGATGACCTCCTTTTCTGCAGCCCTTCCTGGAAGGAATGCCAGAATAAAACTATTTACCTTCTCAATTTCTTGCACCAATGTGAATATTGGGTCTCTTAGAATAAGGCCCAACTCTTGTCTCCCAAAGGACCCTACCTTGGGCTTTTAACAACTCTAGGAAATCCTAAAAGAGTGATAACAGGAAATTCAAAATGTACCTCTGCTTGCGACAAAAAGAGATCTCCTCTCCTTTCTTGGCCTCACAGGGTATTTTCATATATGGATATCTAATTTCATCTTAATTGGCAAACCCTTGTACAGTGCTACAAAGTGAAACTTAGTGGAACTCCTTCCCCTTACTTCTGATACGTATGCATCCCTCAAGACCTTCGAACAGGTTCTATAATAAGCCCCTGCATTAGGGCAATCTCTCTAGACCCTTCCATTTGTATCTGAACAGAGCGCAAAACCTGGCCCTGGGCCTCCTAGTTCAGCCTATAGGAGATTCTGTACAACCAATTGCTTATTTTTCTAAACAATTTGACCCCATTTACCAGGCATGACCACTATGCTTAAAGGTACTAGCCACTGCTTCTCTACTTATCCCAGACATGCAAAAGATGATTTTCTATGAGCCCCTAGTAATTTGTTCCTCCCACAACCTCCAGGATATATTAAATCACAGAGCTCTTTCATCTATCTCTTTTTCCAGAATTCAAGTTCTTCATGCCACCCTGATACAGCCCTACATTTCCTTCCAATGCTGCTCACCAACTAACTGGCCACTCTTATGCCTTTTAATCATTCAGTTGACCCTGAAGGCTTTCAGTATTGATCCGATATTATGGATGGCTCCCTTACTCCCTTTTACCACATTGGCATGAACCTCATAGCAGGTGCTCCTGACTGGTTCATAGATGGCAGTGCTACTAAAGCAGTGCCCCTCTCAGTGGGCTATGCCATTGTCCAGGCCTTCCAGGGCACCAACACGGAGCAATAAATTTCTGCCAAGATAGATATTGAAGCATCCCCTTTGCCCCCCAGGACAACTTCCGAACAAGCAAAACTAATTACCTTAACCTGGGCTCTAACTTTGGCCAAAGGGAAAAAGGTTAACATCTATACAGACTCTAAATATGCATATAACATGCTACATTTCAATACCCAAATCTAGACAGAATGAGGTTTCTTAATGGTAAAAGGCTCTCCTATTACTAATGGCAAATTAATTAATTCCTTTCTCCAGGCTGCCTTACTCCCTGATCAAGTCTCCCTCATCCATTGTAAAGGCCACCAAAAAGGACCTAAGCTATATTTCCACGGGCAACTGAGAGGCCGACTTTTGGGCCAAACAGGCCACCTCACGCTAGGCTGTCCCTCATTATATTTTCCCTCTAATGGGTGAAGACAGTCCACAATACACTCAATCCCAAATCGAAAAGCTCAAGGAGGAGGGAGAGCATTTTTAAAATCCGTATTGGTATAAAAATCATAAGTTAATCCTCCTGATAAATCTGCCCTCCCTCTCCTCAAACACCTTCACTCTCTCTTTCATGCAGGCCTGGTTCCACTTCAACACTTTCTCACTACTCAAGTTCACTTTTACCTCAACACAAGGAATTACTTTAAACCCTTACCAAGGAATGTAATATTTGTCAAATTACCTCTACTCAATCCAAAATCTGGCCTCTGCCTTTCCCCACCCACCAAGTGAGGGGCTCGCTCCCTGGACAGGATTGCCAAGTTGATTTCACTCAGATGCCCCCTATCTGGAAAACATGCTACCTTCTGGTGTTTGTTGACACTTTTTTAGGATGGGTAGAGGCCTTCCCTACCACCAACAAACAGGCCTCCACTGTTACCCCAAATGTTTTACATGATATTATTCTTAGGTTTGGTTTCCCCATCTCCCTACAGTCTGACAATGTACCTGAATTCACCTCTCAGAATCTTGCTTCAACCTTAAACATTACTTGGAACTTCCACATCCCTTACCATCCCTAATCTTCTGGGAAAGTAGAGTGGATAAATGAAATCCCTAT